ATTTTGGTATACCTTTTCTAGGTACGTTAGCCTGTGACCACGGAAATTGACCGAGTCAAGTGCTGGATTAGTACGGAGAGATTGAGACAGAAGGAGGTACTGGATAGAGAGACCGGGATGGTTTTTTATGTGAAGACAACAACAACAACAACAATACATCCACACACGATTCCTCTAAACAGCTTTTTTTTTGCAAAACAAAAAGCGTACCCCTATACGGGTCACTCTTCTCGCAAAAAAAAAACTATTATTACGGGGGAGCCTCTTTAGCACACCTTTGGGACCAGAACGAGATCTAGGGCACCGATTGACAATCTGCTCGCTTCTGAGGAAGAAGAAAAATACCGCGCTCTTTTCCACAGCGGTTTCGTCGTGCTCCGAGAGCAGATGGCCGTGCTTCACCGGCATATGTAGCCTTTATTCGTCGGAGATTTTGCTCACCAACCCCGGGATTTCGACGCGAAAAGGCGTGCACAAAAGCGGAGATCGAGCGCGCGCGCGATTCAAACCAGGACAAGCAACACCGACAGAGACGCAAGAACACCACCAACAAACGCATCACCGCTGAGACGCTGGTCTGAGACCAGCTATGAAAACCAGGAGGGGCCAGGCTGATACGATCTGTGCACCGTGGGTATACTGTAGGCATGCGCCATGTGTAACCTGGCGGGTGTGTATTGATGTTGAGTGGGTCCACCCAACTGCTTCAAAAAGAGCAGACCGATGATCACACAAATAACTCACCTTCCCACAAATCCAGATCACAGCTACCATCATCGAGAGAATCAGTCTAGGGCGTGAGGGTCTACTACTGCTGCTGCTGTGCGTTATCAGGATGGTTCCCCGCGGGATCGGTTCAGATTGCGTACTTGCGCCGCGCAACTGTCTGTTTTCGCAAAGAAAGCCGTGCCCTGCATGCTGTTGTTGCTGCTGCAGGGCTGCAGGAGGACCTCTCGGCCTCTCGCATCAAAGTCATGACGTCACATGACCATCAACGGCTTTTTGTTGTTTCTGGTTCATGCTGGACTGCTTGCTTGCACCTGGGCGGGAAACTCGGAAAGCTTGAGACGAATATGGCGGGCAAGTTGTGAGCCTGACGCATATTTGCCATCTGTCGTGTTACAATCCTATGTCTACGCTGCTGGTCGTGCTCCTCGACGGTGTGATGTGTGATGCGCTCGCCGCCAGGGGGATGCCGCATGTGTGTGCTTCTTCCAGATGCCCAGGAGATGTGGTGTTTGGGTCCGCACAGCGGGAAGACGTGGCATTTTGTTTCTTCGTGCATGTGCATGAAAACGGAAAGAAACAACCGCATGGATAAGGCTCATGTTTATGGTTTCCAAATCTTTACCTTCCTTTGTTTGGATAAATGTTGGCTTTTTCGACCTTGTGGGCAGTCTGCCTCCCGAACGAATGCGAATCAGCTGTTCGACCTTTGAGAACAGTCACAGCTTTGCCTGAGATGCATACAGACCGCCTCTTTGTTGCGCTAGGGTCCACGTTTGATATTTTTCCAGCAGAGCAAGATGTTGAAGATTCGGCCGAAAGGCCACCTCGGAGGAAATCTTGGGCCAAGATCTGTCCAAAAGCTGGTGTTGGAAAAATTTTGCGTGAAAATTTTGCATCGTTCAAAAAACTATTCGCATTAGACTACACAATAAATAAACTAAACTAAGAGCATAAACTAACGTCCAAAATTTTGAACGGTGGCCGCACATACGATCATCGTCGCTCCCGTCGCACGCATGCTGTCCCTCTGTGGTGCACGCGTAGCTGCACCACAAACGAATTCACGCTGGTGTGTGCCGGGATTCGTGCACCATCAGCATCGCAGATAAGACGACGGCGAGGTATTGAGTCGCACCACGCGGCTCATTACCCCCCCATACCTAGTACGAGTAATGGTGTAGTACATGGTTGGCTCAGGCAGTGGAGATGCACTTCTTCAAAAAAGGAGGGAAATCTTGGGGTTCTACAGCAGTCTATCTCCAGCAAGGCATGAGGAATAAAGGGCAAGGAGCTATTCATTACGGGGGCTGTATTGTTGGAGAACGAAAATGCACTTTTGCATACTTGTAGCTGTCTCCACGCTGTTGCACGATGAGAAATTATGTCCGCCGACGTACTGAAAAGCCGCAAAAGCCGAATGGCAAGGTGACAAGGTGATAACCTTACAGCACTAGGATCAAATTCTGAGGCCAACCATATTCCAACACGCTCACACGGAGCGACTGTGTTCGCGAGTTAGAGACGCGAAAGAAATTCAAGTTGCACCGCGTTGCACCGCGTTGCGGTATATGTTATGTTCAAACACCAAAAAATGACTTCATTACACCCACGACGTGGTTCCAAGGCCAAGCTTTCAACCTTGGCAGTCTATGTACAGTAATATCGATTGATGTGGGAGGTATTCGCTGGTACTAACCCTAAAACAGAGAGGCAGCAACGGACAGAGGACCGCGGGGAAAACGTTTCAACGGCACAGCAGTTGTTCTTCAACAACCCTCTTCAGTCTAGATCCCCACGCAGAACGAGAGAGCCACCGCCGTAGCCTGGGGCGAGCAATACATCGTGACATGTGCATAAGTTTCCTTGACTGCTGTGGTGAGCACGCATACCTGATTTCCGAGCAGCGTCGACGACGTCTCTCCGGATCCAAACTCTGTGATCCCGCCAGTAGCACTGCCCACAGCTTGCAGTGCAACCCCGCGGACAGGAGGTATCCGGGATTTCGTTATTCATCCGTGTGCCCCCCGTTACCTCTTCTCCTGCAAATGCTTCCACACAGAGTTTACACTCAGGCTAAGGCAGTGTCAGAGCGACTCTCATGCGCCGCGCCTCATAACAGGTATGCTCCTCCATGTCCAGTGTAGCTCAGAAGCCCAGCAGTGCGCGCTCATCCTATCATCAACTAGACGCGAGCCCATGGTCATGCATTATGGAGCCGGTGCTGCTGAACGTGTAGATAACATGACTAGTAAGACCTATTTTCAAACCTCGCACATGATATGTACTCGACGACGAAGAAGATGCATGAATGAAACGATAAGTTTTCGGACGGCTCTCAACGACACGGCTTCAACGCCGTCGTTTTCGGCGCTTCCGCTCTTTCTGGTATGGAGAAATCGAGCTTTGCTTTGAAAATCGGTCGCGAGGTGGAACAGCAGTGTGGTATATTCTGTCAGCTACTGATGTCGTCTGGTACATGATCCTACGATACCTGGCAGCACATTGGGCACAGTACTGGGCCCTCTATAGTGCAGGGGTGTGTCCAGAGATTTCACGTGCACTATGTGTGCCGGGCACTTGCGCAATTCAGGATAGAGGTTATATAGGTTTTAGTACAATGCTATCAGCTTAGATCTTGTCAGCAAATTTCACCAGCAGGTTCCACCGGCATTTGATCGATTTCCGAGGGCTCTTTTCTCGAACGGTCGGTGCGATACCTGTTGTTTACTTTTTTTCATTTTGTTTTCTTTTTCCGAGTGGTTTGTACCCTATTCTTGTTTTGTTTCCCCGCGGCGTTGCATGTGCCGGGTGTTGAGACCACGGGCAAGTCTACCCATTTTTTGTGGACTATAGAGCTAATGTGAGAAACAACAACAACAACAACCGGCACTAAACTGTACCGGCCACCTGCACTAGTCTAGTCAACCTGCACGATAGAGGTCCAAGTAATGTGTGTATTCATGCATTGGTACATGCTTTTCGCTCACATTGACTACATTTTATTTATTCCCACTGCAAGAGCCTGGTCCGGTGAGAACCCGGCGTGCTCCGTCCCGGCTTTGTAGGGATGCGAGGTCAATGGTCTAAGGACTTCTTAGGGTCCATTGCCAAATGGCAGGCAAACATGCGTCCGAATCTGTCAGACAGGATGCTACTGTAAAAGGGAATGCCGTTTCGTGTGTTGACCCAAGGGTGATTTGTTCTGATGTAGTGGTGGCCGCTCAGGCTTAATTCAGCAACTGTTTAGCTTGAGTAAAGCAGTGCTGCTGGCCTGCGGCAGCTCCCCCGACAGCAGTGTACCTACCGGGGATACCGCAACCATGACTGCTGTAGGTGATGTCTAACGCAATGACTGCACTGTCGTTCTTATCTTTTTCGGAACGCTGATTTGATGGTATTAATGTCGACACGACCTATCTCTACAGCAGCGACGACAGTAGGACATCGTTTTTCCCTTCCCTGTGCCGAGTTGGTGTCTTGGATGCTATGGGCGATGGTGGGAGTGGGAAGACTCTGCAAGAGATCGATGCCGGAGCCAACGCTTGCAGCGTGGAGTGGTGTCCTACAGCCGGGTTGGAACACTACGTTTCTTGCGCTACCTACTCGCTAGCCAGCGACGACACCCCACAGGACGCCGCTGCTCCCATGGGTAGCGAGGATGACACGGACACCCGTGCCGGTGCCGCGCAGACGAGAACAGGGAGCATCGTGCTCCACAAGGTCAACGCTTGTAAATATCGCTTCACCAAGTACATAAACTCCATAGCCTGTCAGTCATGATCATTCCCACTTGCAAATGGCGTTGCAGAGCCCTCACGAAAGACGCGTGGTTGGGTAGTTGGCAACTGGCAACCCAGGTACTAGACTTGAAGACACAAATCAAATCATTTGAACTGGCGCTCGGGTTAAAGTCTAACTCGGATTCTATCACACCACACACGGTAGGGGCATGGGCTAACGCTGACCGGAAATTAACACTTCCCACGACTTGGACAGAAGCTTGAAGTACCTAATGGTCATGCGCGTGCCGGAGCTGGTTGTATCGGATTCCACCCTCCTCAAAGAGCTGGTTGCAACAGAGAACAGAGATGTTGCACCGCCGAATGAGGGTACGTAGATCGAGGTTTGTGCCGGTTGTCGCCTTGCGTTTCGTTTGCTTCCTTTCAGCTTGCGATGGCTTGCTTGCTTGGAAGAACTCGGTGACAACTTGCCTCCTCTTTCCCGCGACCCCTCTGCTTCCCTGCGTCTAGCTAGCCTGCACGGTTCCTTCATCACCTCCATCATCGCAACCGGCCCCAGCTGGTCAAGACACCGCACCCAGTTCCAGTGCGCGTCTTGAAGAAGCCGCTAGCGTGTCGCTTGACGGGGGAGTGTTGGACTCGAAGTGGTCTCCACAGCCCTTGACAGACAGCAGCGGGGCAGCCGTGCTGGCCTGCGCCACATCTACGGGCCGCCTTGTCCTTTACACGCTGTGTGCACCCCGTGCTGGCACGCAGGAGGAGCAGGAGGCATCGGCAGAGGGTACAGAGTTGCGTCAACTTTCGTGTAGTGACAAGAAGGACAACTTGCTTTTGTCTCTGGACTGGAGCGGGGGGGGAATGGCAAACGCTAAGGTGCGGCGGTGTTGAGTGGAAGGCGGCTGAGGATGGCTGTAAAGTGGAAGCGTCGATACCGCACCTGAAACGTGAGATGTGGCCTCTCAGCTATACCGTCTGGCACTTGGTAAGGGCGCATTTCCTCCTGCCGGGCTGCAACAGACGTCGGAAGAGGGGCCAGCCCCCGGAGACGTGTTGGAAAGGGGAGAACACCCATTTTTGCATGCAACGAGTACAACAGCAGTGCAATGCCTCGGGGGCTTCACATGCAAAATCGAATCGCACCACAGACGCCCACACAACAGGAAGCAAATCTCGTTCTGCTGTATCATACATAGTGGATCGTGGTTGAACTGCAACCGCACACCACCAATGATTTTGAACCAGCTCGTGGAAACCTTCCCTCACAACACTACAGTATATTCTTACAGTAAAGCCCACGAGCACCGCGGCGCACCCGATTGATACTTAGCTCACTTTCGCGTCGCCTCACCCCGAAAATGGCGCGTGCCCTTTTTTGGCAGATAGTGGTGAGCCAGTCCGACGGGGCAGTGGCCATCTGGCGGTTGCATCCAAACGGTGGCGCCCCCATTCAAGAAATAGAGCCGTGGCATGCCCATGCGCTACGAGGGGGGGCGCCGACAGAGGCATGGATTTCGTTTTTTCGACGACCAGAGTGTGCAGGGGAGGACGGGGCCTCGTTCGTAGTATCAGGAGCCGACGATGCTGTCATGAAAGGGTGGGATCTACGGGCGGGTGGAGGTTCGAACGGAACTTCGCCGGCGTTCGTTTGCAAAGGCCAGCACGGGGCGGGCGTGACGGCGGGGCAATGGCATCCTACTCTTCCGCACGTCTTTACCAGGTGCACTCGCTTCTAATCGATACCGCAACCCTTGCCTGAAGTTGATGAAGGTGCAACTCGATCGCTGTGAATTTGTCAGTCACTGGCTTTGTTTGGGTTACAGTGGTACGCTCGACGGCGTTGGGCTTGTAAGCATTAGGATGCCACAGGTCGACGAAAGCGGCACACGTTGATGGTTGATGCTCAATTGCTCCGCCACGTCATATCACGCCATGTCACCTTCTTTTTGCCTTACTGGTTCGGTTAAGAATTGTTCGACGAGTTCATCGAGGGGCCTGACTTCTGCCGGGAGATTTTCAGAACGGCCTAGGGATGTTAGCAGAAGAAGGCCTAGGTGCACGAACCAGCCAGCAAGCTGGTGGGCGTGTGTGTGTGTCTTTATTATTAGCATCGACCGCGCTTACCGGCTGACCAATGAAAAGACTCTAGTCTTAGTGCGGTTGAAAACACAAAACACTTCTAGCTGCCATGCACTGGGACACCGTGAGGGGGCAGCATGGGG